GATGGGACCTCACATAGAGAAAGCTTACATTTCATGAGGACCATCTTAGGTGTACAGGCTTCTTTATTAAACAAGGATACAATTCAACATCTCACGAATATTCCTAGAATAGCAGTTCTCAACCTGTGGGTTGTAACCCCTTTGAGGGTTGAATGACAACCTGTGGGTCACGACCCCTTTGGGGGTCGAACGACCCTTTCACAGGGGCCGCATAAGATCATCGGAAAACATGTATTTCCAAAGGTTGGGGGTCACCACCACATGAGGAACTGTATTAAAGGGTCGCCGCTTTCGGAAGGTTGAGAACCACTGGCCTAGAGTATAAATGTTTCCCAGTGGTGTACTCACATGCATGTTCCAGACTTTCCTATTAGGTAAGACACATAGACTTTTAGGGCTTTCAGTTTGGTTTGGGTTTTGCCCATCTTTTATAGTTGTTTGCAGATCTACCAGATAGTTTAGTAAGAGTAATCTATGTATTCAGTCATTACAGATTTAATTTTTTTAATATAGACACACATAAAATATTTGCCTATAATTTTACTCTTACTTTTACTCAAGTAAGTGCTGCCTCAGAAAAAAGTGGCCCTCCCATCCCGGCCTGTCGCTACATAGTATCACTCTGCTTTCAAGTAAATGCAGCTAAATGGGCAAGAAGGTGGTGGACAATCTTGCCTAGTACATATATTATTCAAACAGAAAATAATAGTGAATCTGAACCTGGGAACACAACACCAATTCCTTCTGTTTCTCCCCAAACTCCTCCGTGCTTACCCTATCGGTGTGCTTCAGGGAGCCCAGCACTTTTTCCAGCAGGACTCCGGCAGTCATTGGGAGAGGCAGCTCTGTAGAGTCTGCCTGGAGATACAGAAGCTGGACTAGTAAGGTGTGACGTGATATGGGTCATGGGTCACCTCTTGAAACTTGTGCTTTTCACACAACCATTTAAAATTCATACAATGGAACAGAATATAATGCATGAATGCAGGTTCATTAAACTAATGCATTTTTTGAAAAACAAAATATGACAGAACATTTCATTATGGACGTGGATATGAGAAAAAGTGTTATGCTGCTATTTAGAATGTGTCTTGTGTGTCGTGGAATTGAGATATTTCCAAATCATCAATAATTAAAATGATGAGAATCCATCATTTCACTGACATTTACTTCTACATGAAAAGATGGCCTATTTTAAATGTGCTCACACTTATTCTTGTCAATCACAAGCTGTCACAGCAAATTATTTCATTTTGAAGATCACATGGCAGTTAACAGAAAATCTCTAGGTTTAAATTTAGATCTTAGGTGTAGTATCAAGAACTCTTTTCCTGGATTTTCCTCCACTGCAACTACATCTTCACACTGCAGCCTATAGAAGATGTGAAATCATATTCATAATACTCTGTTTCACTTCTGGTTAGCAAAACTCAGGCCCAAAATGAATCACAGAAGTGGTAACTTAGGAAGACATACAGAATATATAAGACATAATAGTAGAAATATAAAACTGAGAACATGTAGAAGCAGTAAGAGTTTCCTACAGTGGGAACCTGGGTTTAGTGAGTTGAGTTCTAATGTCGTTTCCCCCTCATTTTCTTAATACATTTATTCATAGGAGTCCAAGAACCATTCTTATGCTATGTGTGCATTGGCTATGGCTCCTAGCAGTTACAAAGAAGCCAAATTCTTAAAAACCTTGATCTGATCTCAGAATTTTCACTATGCCACCATTAAGCAGAAGGTTATGAAAACTATGAAAAAAATGTAAATCACATGGCCTTGAATCTGAGAACTTTTCAAATGCCTTTTAAAGAAGTCACAATTCTAGCAGAATCATTAATAAGTGTCAACATCTTTAAATACCAGAATTATAAGACTTAATAAGACATCTTCATCAACAGTCTAGAGAAAATATTTTGAGTTTCTGATTTTATTCCACACACAATCAATCTCTCTGATTAGTCATTCAAATTCAAAATGTATGAATTATTCTAATATTGCATTTCAACATGTCAGTCTTGACCCTGGCCTGACCTCCAGATGATAGCTTTGTGTTGAGATATTTGATGAATAGCTCTGGCTTTTCATGAAACCCAGTGCCACTGATTCTCAGCTGTGATGGTCAACAGGGTTAGGAGAATAGCTTTTTAAAAAGTAGAGATACTGTGTAGGCTCTTGCTACCTTAGTAAATCCAGACCTAGTTCTTAGATAATCTTCACTATCTACTGTTTTTCCAAAGAGTAAGAAAGCCATGAAGTCAGCACACTTAATCAGCAGAATACAAATGGTCTTATTTGGCTTACTGTGCCAGACAAAAACATTTTTTTTTCCTTTGAGATACTTGTCACACAGTTTTCTCAGTTTTAAGGATTTCTAACTTACTTAACCTAGGTCAAGTCAAAACAAAAAAATTCTTTCTCAATGCCAGATCCAAACATAGGAGGCATTTAATTAACAGTTGTTACTTTCATTTTAGATTGACTTGAATTAAAAGCAGAGCTGAAAGAATAATAACATTACAATTTATTCTCTGTGCATCAAATCTGGCCTTGTACCTGGCCATAGTAAGCTCTCAGTAAAGGTTTGCGGAGTGAATGTAAATCAATAATGAAAATAATGACCACTTAATGACTCTAATAGCGTTTTAGTGAACTGTGTGTAAAACGTTCATGCTCATTTAGAAAAGATACATCAGTACCACCCAGTTCTGCCAGCTGTTTGCCCCTCTTTAGCTTTAGCATGTTCTGTTTCCCAAATTCTGATTATGTTCCTTACTCTAAATGCATCGACCTTGTCCAAAGCCACCATGTCCCATATACAGGTTTTATTTTTATGGCACACCTAGGAAGACAAGGCTGCAAACTGTTGAAGTATTTACAGAGCGTGTGCTCAGAAAGGTCACTTTAACCCGACTGAGATGATCTGAAAAGTGTATGTTAATATGCGGGTAAGAAGCAGATACCTACACAGACACTCTCACATCACCTACATGAAGAAGATCTTTCGTGCATACAATGTTTATGTACATTCGTATCTCAATGTTATCAAAGAAACCAAAGTCAGAATGTGGGCTTCTCTATGAGATTAAAGGAGATGGGTGGCTTTTCCCCCCCGTTCTACTTATCCTAAATCTTTTTAATGGACATGTGATTTGCCAGTCTGTGTCCAGGCTCACCTACAATTCTTTTCTCAAAAGACAAGGCACATCTGCCACCTGCTCTACTCTGTGTCCCAGCAACAACTGTCGAGCAGCAGAAAGATTGATTATCAGTCAAAAGCCATTGCACAACACCAGATTTTGGTGGGTTAAGCTTGCTGATCCAGCAAGAGATGGTGTGAAATTTTCAGGAGCGTGTGCCAACATTTTGGTGCTAAAAGAACAGCAGTGCATGTCACAGTGAAACACAGCCAAAGATATGCAGACAAAGCAGAGAAGTTGTTTGTTTGGGGGATTTTTTTTTCTGTTCTGGACTTGGCTTTAAAAAGAATAAGAGAGCAAACAAAAAGTAGGAGGAAATTAGTTTGTACATTTAGAACTCATCTACCAAGCTTAGTCATGTGTGTAGCAGTATTATTTTAGGCACATATATCTAGGAGATATTCTAAGCAGCTTAGTTATAATCACTTTAATTTATCTCCTCTACAACACCATTAATCATATAAAAGCAAGAGTTTCTTATTAATAAAAATAATTGATGATCTTAATGAGGAACCTAATTTAGCACCCCCAACATAAATATCTGAAAAAAATTCTAAAGTCACTTCAGAGATATCTGTAATCACAAAAAATCTTTTTTTGATATATGTAGATGATTGGATGAACACAAAATGAAAGTAATCACATTTTGATATAAACACAATATGGAAAATATATGGGTCTACACGATTAACATAGGTAATTTTTACTGATTATTAGAGCAACAAGTTTTTTTTTTCACAAGAAGAAACTATGGAATTCAAGAAAAATTTTTTTCCTTTTAGATCCAATATGGTCAAAGAGAGAACTTCTGGTATCATTTTACAAAATATCATTAATAGGAGACAGATTTTCATCACTTCATCAGTAATGAACTTCAAAATTAATTTTCTTCTTCTTATGCAATGATTGCCTAGACTTGCCTTTGATTCACCAGCTTAATAGGAGTTGCAGGAAAAAGGCTTGTCTAATAGAGTTAAAATGCACATGGTAGTACAACAGTTAGCTATTGAATCCTTAAGGCAACCTTCTGATGTCATTTACATGTGATTACCATGTATAGCACTTTGTAACTGGCACTGGCTCTGACATGCTTGGAAGAGTACTCTTAAATAGTTGATACTTTTATTTCTCTGTTGAAAATTACCCTTTCCAAACTGAAGGGAAAAAAATGTGTGCTTTAGAAACTCCACATTCCATACATGTTGCCATGTTAAAATCATGGCAGATTTCATACACACATACATACATACATACGATTTCAAAGTTAAAGAATCAAAGCTGTAACATTTCCCTTTACAAAATTTGTATTAGGAAAATTATATGCACATAAGAATCATATGGTCCTTATTGGTCACATTGTCATAATGACACTAATGCCATCTACCAAGATTATAAATAAATAAATGATACTTGAAACTTTGAACTATTCTCAGCGAGTAAGTCTAATGAATTATGTCTGTTGAGTGTCACAGAAACTAAACTGTAAATTCAATAATCTCTGATTTAATTTATTATATTTTCACCATTTAACCTCCTGCAGGCTCCCTAATGTCTATTCAGATCTATATTAAATTAAGCACCAATGCTAATGAAGGGCAATAAACGTGGCTGTCAGTGGATTTTTCTTTCATTAAGCACATTATCCTCTTACTGAGCTGTAAATGCGTAAACATTAGTTTTGTTAAACCATGCAAAAAAGACAGGATGAAAATCATTTTTTAATTATACCCCTTAAGCAATTGACTATGTGTATGGGTAGGTTATTTTTTGTTATTTTTTTCTTACTTTTTTTTTTACCTTTAATTGTTTTGAATGGATCTATAAAGGGCTCTCCCATTGAAACATAAATGTCAGCTTCATGGGGTATATCCTTAGGTTTGAGGACTTCAGTGCCATCTGCCAAGAACACTCGTCGGGCAGCCAGGTTCAGATTCAGCTTTTCGGTGCACTCCTCCAGCAGCTAGAAGAAAGCCAGCGGTAAGCACTGGTGATTCGCCACAAGGAAAAGACATTTCCATGAAACAAAAGGCTTTAATGATCAAAACAGAAACCCAAGTGAATGACTTGCCAACCTGAACAACATAGTTGTTTTCTAGTAATGAAAATGTAAGGGGAAAAAAGTAAACCACAACACTGAGGATACTTAATGACTGTCTAATTTTAATCCTGAAATATTTTTGTCATTTTAAAGACACAGATTGTTTCATTAAATTACAACATATGTATATATGTATGTATATATATATATATATATATATATATATTTATGTGTGTGTGTTTTAAAAGGAAAGGAGTGAGACATCTGAGATGTGTATATATATATATATAAATATTTATATACAAGGAGTTTACAGATTTGATAATTCAAAAGCAAAATTTAACACAATGTCATCTTTCTCATTTTTTATGATTCTAAAGAAAGTAAGGGAAGAAATAAAGAACCGCCAGCTTTGGAGCACTAGTTACCGAGGTGATGGTTGGAACAATAACTTTGACAAAGACTGTTCTGGATCCGTTTTTGTAAGCTGTTGCTCGAATCATTCTGGGTTGAAGTTTGAGTCTTTGAGACCCTCTATTCCAACTCTGGGTGGACTGAAATGTTAGAGAAGAGAATCCTACAACTCTGAAGAAAAGAAAACACAAAAATAAGTGCATGCTAATCAGTGGGAACTTTGCAGAAACACTTAAGTTATTAGTGTCCCAGGTTTGTTTTTACAGATATAAGTCCTAAGGATTGTTCCTAAGTACATACGAAATCCCTCTCCACCACCAACTCTTTTGGTAGGATATATTACCTATATCTACTTAAATACAGCCCCCCACCCCAAATTAAAACACCTTTAAATTTGCCAAAATTGGAAAACACTTGCTCTGAAGAAATCATTTTACTTATAAAATATCACAATATCTATTGAAAATAATCTATCTATCTATCTATATATATCTGATACACACTTATAGAAAACAAAATTATAATATGGTCTTATATTACCAATATATAATGATAACAATAATTAATGGCCTTTATTCAATTTTTCATGTTAATCCAAATTCTCTGGGTTTTTAAAAAAACTGTGAAATTTAAACATCATTTTTAATGAATACGTTCATTATAATAGTGTTCATTTCAAATTATTTAGAGGTAGTAAGATTCCTTTTATTTATTTTAACTTCAACCAAAATTAGTTAACTAATATGTGGTAGAATTGACTAATTATCATTCCACATTTTTAATCTCAGAGTTCTCTAAGTATGTTAATTCTTATTACCACAGAAGCAAACATTTGAAAATAAAAACACCAGGTAAATTAAAACCACAATGCATACCCTCAAACATATGAAAATAATAAAACATTAATTTCTTGGGATAATTTTTAATTCATACCAACATCTTCTCTTGTCCACAAACTTTTAGGTTTGTGATATTTTGTTTATCATAATCTCTAAGTGAAAATGTACATACAAACTAGTTTTATAATAAATTCATTTCAGCTCCATTTTGTTTTCAAAAATATTGGTTAATTATCAAAAATTTCCATTTTATTCTGAAACAAACATCCTGTAAGCAAAGATATTTCATGGGCTTTGCTTGATTTGACTTCAAATGTTCGCCTCAGAGTTTCAAATTATCCAGGCTGAAGTGTAACTCGTGTTTTCGGTAAATGTAATTAGCAACACTGGTGTTTTCAAAGGAAAAACAAACAAATGGACAAAACAAAACCCTACAAATATGTTACATTTTAATATACAAAATAGCCCTAGAATCCTTATAAATTCTGCTCAAAGGAAAGTGCTTCCACAGTGGGTTAAAAAGAACAAAGAACAGTTTTGATTACCTCAGTTGACCCGCTGGAGCACTGACAGGCCTGTTTCTTTTGGATGCTGATATAAGACAAGAATTGTTTTTACTGTTTGATTTGTAGCTATCTTGGGCTGGTATTTCATCATGGCTGTGATCTGATGCTGTTTGATGTGTGGAGCAATCTGGAAGTCCTGACCCTTCGGAGACAGCCGCTGAATGCAAAAGTCTGCAGGGACCAACCTCAGGCTGCAAGTAAGCTCCCCTAGTTTTAACAGCTGCTTTTACCGGGTTTGACATAAGCTTCCTGAAAGAAACAAAGCATGGAAGAATACAATCAAATGATTTTTATGCACTTATTAACAACTGTCATTTCATAACTAATTTGTGTGCCAAGTGCTATATACAATACTATGTACTTTGCAAACAATGCTTGGTTTGAGCCTTACACTATCCTGGGTGTGTATAGTATTTTTGTCTCTCTTTCACAAGTTTAAGAAACTGGAGTCTCAGAGAGGTTAACTTGCACAAGCTCACATAATCAGTTAAGTGACAGGGAAGAAATCCAAACTTAAGCCTGTCCTAAGTCAAACCCGGGTTGGAAATCATTGGGATTCATTGCTTTCCTTAACTAAAGAAGGAAGTTTATGCAATGCTTGAAAGAATATAAGTACACATCTTAAATTCTTGATTTGTTTAAAACACTACCCCCCGCCTCCCCCAAAACCAAACGTACTGCTATTGAGTCCATTTTGAGTCACACTAATCCCATAAGACAGGATAGAACTGCCCTGGGGGCTCTCCAAGGCTATAAATCTTTCTGGGAGCAGAAAGCCTCATCTTTCTCCCTCAGAGTGGCAAGTAGTTTCGAACTGCTGACCTAACCATTAGCAGTCCAATGCATAATGCACCATGGCACCAGAGCTCCTTTTTAAAAAAACACTAGTAATAGCCTTAATGATACTGTGGTGATACATTGGGCTGCTAACATCCAAGTCAGCAGTTCAAAATCATCAAGATGGGGCTTTCTATTCCCATAAATACTTAGTCTTGGAAACTCACAGGGGCACTTCTACCCGGTCCTACGAGGTCAGTCTGAATTGACTTCAACTGGATGGTAGAGAGCTTTTTGTTTGAGTATTCTAGCATGTGCTAGTATACACGTTTTAACTTTGATGTACACCGATACTTGAGAGTACTAGTGTTTTAAACTGTATAAAACCAAACCAAACCAAACAAGAACCCCAGCACTCTACTAAGTATTGATGTATCTAAAAGCTAGAGATATGCATTCTACCCCAAAATAACTTGCAAACTACCCTCATAAATAGAGATTATGTATTAAATTGTTTGGCATTGTGAGTGTATATTAACTGCATGCAAAAAGAAGTAGTGTGAGTTAAAATGAAAATTCGTGGTGGCTTTACAGCAGTCCTAGGAGTGAGGCACCAGCAGGTCCTGGTTTGCCCAGAACTCTCCTGACGATGAAGGAGCTCTGCTGGTGTAGTGGGCTATGTATTGAGCTGCTACCTGCAAGGTCAGCAGTTTGAAATCACCATCTGTTCCAGAGAGACAGATAAGGCTCTGTACTCCCATAAAGAATTACAGTTTTGGAAACCCCCAGAGGCAGTTCTACCCTGTCTTATAAGGTCACTGTAAGTCAGGATTGACTCGATGGGTTTTTTTCTTTCTTATTTGAACACGGAAAGCCATGTACTTTGGGAAATCCCTCTGTCTTGGACAAACCAGGACAGTTACTCATCTTTCCTGGAATTTAAATGGGAAGAGTAGCCTTTAGATCAGTGGTTCTCAACCATCCTAATGCTGCAAACCTTTAATACAGTTGCTCATGTTGTGGTGACCCCCCAACCATAAAAGTATTTTCGTTGCTACTTCATAACTGCAATTTTGCTACTGTTATGAATAGGGTGACCCCTGTGAAAGGGTCGTTCAACCCACAAAGGGGTTGTGACCCACAGGTTGGGAACTGCTGCTTTAGATGAACACAAGAGAGAGAAAGGAGTGCAAGTGGGAATAAGAACAGCAAAACTGCTAAGAGACATATGGAGGAAAAACAGGGTAACTTGGGAGGGCAGAGTGAAAGTCTGTCTATATAGCATTATGCTACAAAATGCAGCTCATTGCACTGACTAACTGCAGTGTAATGCAAGCTATTCCTGAAGATGGTACCTCTGTGAGGATTTCATCATCTATACACTGAAGTTTTTTTAAGCCAATGACCCCTCTGCTCTTTTAAGCTGTGACATGGACAACAGCATTACTGAGGACAATACATAAATCTATGCAACAATCAAGTTAGGTGGTTGAAATCTATTTGCTGCTCTTGTGGGCCAAGAAGTCGATTCCAAGTCAAGTGTACTCCACTCACTGCTATCAAGTCAATTCTGACTGAAGACAACCCTCGAGGGCAGCAACCTGCCCCTGTGGGTTGCTGAGACTGTAACTCTTTACAAAAGTAGAAAGCCTTCTCCCAAAGAGCAGCTAGTGGTTTCGAACTGCTTACCTTGCGGTTAGCAGCCCATGTAACCAGCTCAACTAGGTGACACAACATAGCAGAGTTGAAATGCCTTCACACAATTTCCTAGTTCTTTCCTCCTGCCTTGGTGGCGCTGTGATACATGTTGGGTTATGATCCACATGGTTGCCAGTTCGAAACCATCAGCAGCTCCTCGGGAGAAAGACTCAGCTTCCTATTCCCATAAACTGTTATAGTCTAAGAAACCTACAGTGGGTCCTGATTCATCAACAGTAACTGGATGGCAGTGAATTTTGTCTTTTTTTTTCCTCCTGCAGTGTTATTGATGGGTTCGAACTACTGACTGTTCAGTTTGCAGCAAGCCCTTTAACCAGATATAGAACTTACTTGTATAATAAAATAAACGGTGCTTCAGAATGTTTAAGAATACTGTGCTCTGTAGGAATTAGGCATAGAGTATAATCAGCTTCCATATGTTACTGTAATTAGGATTATTTTTACCCAAATGGAATTTGTCTCCATTTGATCTGCTAGTTCAACAGGTTTTTTTTAATATATAATACAACTCCCTCCTCATAATTATCAGCCAACATTTACTGGGTGTTGGAAACTCTGCAGGGGCAGCCCCTCCCCCAAATGTTTCTCATCCACAAATGTCATTATAATCAATTATTTCTTCTTGACTGCGTGTGTGTTCTGAAAGAAAGGTAGTGGCATGCCACATAAAATGAGTGTGCATGTGTTCTGACAGTCGCTCAATGAGAATAAAACACTGAGACCCAGACAACTGTGCTTTAGGATTGTTGCTGCGGCTGCCACATGCCTCTATGCAGTCTTAGCCTGGACTGTGTATATTACTGAGCAGAGAAGTGACATTCCCCACACTCTGAGGATCCACCCAGGTTCAAAATTGTGGCAAAGAGCATATTGACTTGTGCTTGACCTTTGGCTCTGGCTCTGGCTCTGGCTCTGCTCTGGCAAAGGTGGGACCACCCTTCAGGCCAGCTGAATAACTAGATTTTTGGCCACATTGGTAAGCAGTGGCATGTGGTGACGGCTAGGCCACAGGTACCACATTGCCACAATGATAGCACTGTGGTAAACAACCCGGAGGAAACGTTTGCAGAGCTCATAAAGAGTTCTGGGAAACAGCTTGAAGAGTAAAATCTCATTTGAAAACCCAGAATTCCCTGCTTTAAAGCAGAAGGAAGTGTTTCCTCCCCACCTCCTCCCCATGAATATATTGTTATTGCCACACCTCTTTCTCCTGCACAGCGGTAGCTAGTGGGTTTTTTTAAAAATCATTTTATTGGGGGCTCATACAACTCTTATCACAATCCATACATACATCAATTGTGTAAAGCACATTTGTACATTTATTTCACTATCATTCTCAAAACATTTCCTCTCCACTTAAGCCCCCGGCATTAGGTCCTCATTTCCCCCCTCCCTCCCCGCTCCCCCCTCCCTCATGAGCCCTTGATAATTTATAAATTATTATTTTGTCGCTAGTGGGTGTTAACAGCTGATCTTTTGGTTAGCAGCTGGATTTCTAACTCTAGGTCTTTGCACATTTCCTTATAATGTTTGCCTTCTGGAGCTACCCTTTGACATTTTCTTCCCTTTCCCATTTGCTGTAGGTACTCTATGATTAAGAGCAAGTTTCAGAGTCGCGTCTGACATCCATTTTGAGCTTTTTTCCCTTTCCTGTCTTTTTAGTGGCCTTTTGTGCTCTTTATGAATGGTGTGCTTACTGTCCGTCCACAGCTCATCAGGTCTTTTTATCATTAGAGTTCAATGTGTCAAAGCTGAACGAACGCTCTAACCACTTCACTGCCAGGGTTCCTCTGGTAGGGTTAGGACAATATACTACATGAGGTTTAACTGGTAAATGCTAAAAAGAATTGAATTGAAGGAGATGATTCTACTATATATTTATTTTCTACTTTTCTCTGGTAATTTATATAGAAAGATATAAAAGGGGATGTTTTCATGTTAAAGGAGGATGATAAGTCTTCTTCTCACATGCTTTTGACATGTAATCAGGAGAGACCAGTCCCTAGAAAAGGACACCATGCTTGGTTAGCGGGTCCACAAGAAAGTGGAAGACCCTCCCTGAGATGGACTGGCTACAACAATGGGTACAACAATCATAACAATTGTGAGTATGTTGCAGGACCAGGTAGTCTTTCCTTCTGGGTTGTTATGAGACTTGACAGCCCTTAAACAAGCAAGAGAAAAGGACATAAAACCACTCCAACAGTCCACAGAGAGGATTGGAAAGTAATGCATTACTTGCCCAGGATATAACAGTGTCCTTACAATAACTCTATCAGTCCGACATATTTTTGACTCAGGAACCTCATCGGTCCTTCTGTGTTTTTGTGCTTGCTTTTCCTACATTTTTATTGCTTAATTTATTGCTTTAATCCCTTTAATCTTATTGCCTATAGCTCCTTTTAACCATTCCCTCATGACTTCTTGCTAACTTTTTCTGTGTCTCCCTACTTACACGCTACACTACTTTCAACAGATTCTGTCCCTATGAGTTACATCCAAATTCTCCAGAATTTAATGGCATCCTTACTCAAAATCGGGCATCACTGTTAGAGCTCTCAAGTGAGGCAGCCTGAGAAGCCCCTGGCAAGCCTGTTGTGGGAAATCACCTGTCAATGGCTCACGCACGAGGAGGACAAAAGGATAAGACTCAGTGGAGGTACAATCAGATCAAAAGGAAGATGCCTCCTAAAAAAAGTAAACATAGCAGGCAAGGGATTTGCCCGGCCTAGCTGATATACAAAAATACATTG